AAAAAAAAAAAAAAAAAAACAGTTGCGGGAGGGAGGGTCGGGCTGTAGCCCCCTCCCCCTCCATCCGTCCCTACGTGGGACAAAATGAAACTCCTTAACAAGTCCCACAGTCAAATAACAATAAACTCCTTAACAAGTCCCACGGTCAAATAACAAATAAATGCATGAAAAATGAATCCCATATCTCAATTGAAAAGAAAGCATGTAAAAATTAGTCTATAAAAAGGAGTTGTGGACTTTATTAAATAATGGTCTTTATATAGAATGGGCCGAAGTCAACTTGGCGTCTTTTAATTGTGTAAATTACACTGACACATTTTTATTCTTTTCAATTCAAAAATCAAATTTAAAAGTTTTTATTCAAAAATTAGGTGATAATTCAATTTTTTAATATTAGTAATAATATCAAAAGTTAAATTAATCTAAACATTCTCCCCAACCCCATCACATTTCATCCACCCCACCAAATTTAACTCACAAACCCTGATCTCTCTCTCTCTCTCTCAATAAAGAGCAACATCACTAGAAGACGGTGGTGCTCATAGTGTCACTGCAAGCCGCACTACAACATCATCGTTGCTGCGCAGTGACTCTGCACAATGTCTGTGCGGCGACTTTGTGCAGAGAAGCAGCACGATGCAGTGATGATGTTGTGCCGAGAAGCGGCACGCAACGGTGATGAAGTGTTCGGGGTGATTTTTCGATAGTTTCTTCCGTTTTTGATCTCCTGCTTCGTTAGAGTTTTTGGTGATTTTTTATGGTGGTTTGTATTTGGTGGTGATGGTGTATGTGATGATTGTAATGCTGAGGTGGTAATGTTGTGGGTGGTGATGATAATGCAGAGGTGATAGTGGTGCTCGCGGTTGTGGTGGTGCATGTGGTGGTGGCGGTGGTTGTTGTAATGCTCCAAATCTATTGCATTGTTTTAAAAAAAGAAAAATAAAGATTTGAAGTGTTACTAAAATCTTCCTTATCTAATTTAAGTGAAATTTAATATTACTGTGCAAATGTTGGGATTAGATCAATAAATCTATAATTTAATTCAACAATTTAAATGAGAATTTTTCATATATAATTAAATCTTAAAAAACACAATTTTAATTGCCAATTTTAACATGGGATGTTAACATGGCTCGAATCCCAAAACTACTAAAATGATGTGCACTTAATTAAACATATAAATATTCTTAAAATGAAAATTAGACATAAATCCTTGTTAAAATTTTACTTAGCAACTCATAAGCATCACTCATCCAATTTTTAACGCATCCAACATGATCCATTCTAATTTGAAATTTATAGTAACAGTAAGTATTTCACGCCACAATTATATAAATATCTAGAAAAATAAAAATTTAACATTGTGTCATGAAAAGAGAGAAAAATAGAAGAGAGAATAAAAGTCAATAAACTTGTGTATATTATAATGAGAATCAAAACCCTATATTTATAGAGAAGGATTAGAGATACAATGGTAATAATTTCTAGGATTGTATGGATATAATTGTCATTTACTAATAAACTTACCATTTACAAGATTCCCTCTTGAATGATACATTACAAAATATCGGCCTCATTAAAACCTTGTTTGTTAAAAATCCATGTGAAGGAAAAATAGTATAGTTATTTTGAAGTATTAAAAATAAATAGTGTTTTATTAAAACATTGCAAGGAAAATTCAGTGATATAAAATATAAGTAAAGGAAAAAGAGTACATCTACTTCCCTTAATGTTGATCACTAAAAATCTTTGAATCGACGCATTCCAATCTTGTGAACCAAATTTCTTGAATGTAGATATTGGTAGTGCTTTTGTTAATAAATCAATTATATTATAACTTGAACGAATTTGTTGAACATTGATATCGCCATTCTTTTGAAACATGTGTATGCAAAAATCTTGGAGAATATGCTTCGTCAATATAAACTGCATTGCCGTCATACAAAATTGTTGGATTATCTTTTGTTGAAGTTAATCCGCATGATACTTGGATATGATGGATCATGTTCCTCAACCATACACATTTTCTGTCCGCTTCATGGATTACAATAATTTCAGAATAATTTAAAGATATTACTGTCAATGATTCCTTTATAGATCTTCATGATCTATTTATTCTTCCACGTGTAAACATGTATCATGTGATTTAGTTTTATATGAGTCAGAGAGACAACTTGCATCTGCATATCTCACTAAAACGGATCCCGACTTTTGAGAATAAAATAATCTCAAATTAATAGTACCCTTTAAGTAACGAAAAATATGTTTAACATTATTTCAATGACTTTGTGTTGATGTAGAGTTATATCTTAAAAGGAGATTTATGAAAAAAACTATGTCGGGTCGAGTGCAGTTTGCAAAATAAGTTAATACTCCAATTGCACTAAAATATAATACTTTAGGACCAAGAACCTTTTCTCCATCTTCAAGTGGACGAAAATGATTTTTTTCATATCAAGTGATCGAATAACCATATGTGATGCCAATGGATATGCATTATCCATATAAAAGCGTTTTAAGATTTTTATTTTTGTATATGTACATTGATGAACAAATAATCATTCTATAAAATGTTCAATCGGCAATTCAATACAGAATTTGATTTTTTCTAAATCTTTCATCTCAAATTCATTTTTTAAATAATTTACAATTTTGTTAAGTTTTTTAGAAGTTCCAATTAAATTTAAATTATCAGTTTAGACAGCCACAATTGCAAATCCAATTGACATATGGTTAGGGAATCCTAACTCCTATCGTCTTTCCTTGGTGAAACCTAAAAATTCGTTAGGGTTGTGTTAATGTCTTTGGTTAAAAAAAATGTCAATGATTATAATAAAATTGCACAAAGGTATTCACAAATCTATATTTCTTTTTCTTGTCCTTTTAATCAAATTTTAACTTATTTTTTGAAAAGATCAATTTTTAAATATTCCTTTTCGGGATTAATCTCTTCGTCTTTATTTTCACAGTCCACCCGGAATTCGATCCACCCTTAGTCGCATCCTATTCCAAAAGTTTCTATCACAATCTTAATCGAAAATGAGGGATCAAGATCAGCAAACCAGGGTATTATACGATCTATGCACCATGATTATTCAAATTTTCCGATCGCCGCCGCTTTCGATATCTTTTCCCAGCCTTTCTCTTGTATTACCGGCGCCGACACCGTTGTATTCTTGCTCACGACCACTGGCGCCTCAGGTTTCATCGGCTGCTTTCGGGGCTTTGTTTCTTGGGATTTCGTTCGCTTTGATGCTATTCGGAACCGTGACTTTCATGATCGGGTTCGTATTGATGCCTCTGGTCATAACTCTGGTTTTTCTATTCTATTTTGTGGGGATGCTTTTAAATTTTTCTGAATTTGGTCGCGCCATCCTCTGGCCTGCCTCTGTTGCCGTTAAGTTTGCTCCAGGTAAAGGGAAATTATTTTTTCCTAATTTCTTCTTTTGACGTATTTGAAAAATCTTTATATAACCTTTTATGTTCTTATTGATGTTTGATAAATGCTTGTTTGCTATATGTTGTTTGGTGCTGTAAATTTATGCTGTTGAAATGGATGAAATTCCCCACCGCAAATTGTACTAGAGAAGATTGCATTAGTTCCTAAATTGAATGCAAGAAGCGAAAATCTCTGAAAATCTGCAAACGTGGGTACCATTTAACAACTCCTATTCTAGAGTTTCAGTAAGTAAATAAAATTGCAGCTGCATTAATCGAAGAGAATGGTTTGGAACCTCCATGTAGAGCACATGAGATAACTTTATACGTGGTTTGCGAGTTCATAACTCCTAGAAGTACCTACCTATCGGTTCATTTGATTTTCGGATGCACCACACATCTGTGTTGCATTTTAGGTGAGCTTTGTGCTAGGTCAGTATTGACAATTTCGTTTACTGAGTTTAGCAAATATATTTCACGGTCAGCTTGTAGATGCTTCTGAGTCCAAGCTCTTGTCTGCCTTGTTGCACTATCTAACCTGAGCTTCAAACTCTAGCAGTCTCAGGGGCACAAAACTAGGTTTAGCTTGATAGTATTTGATGTCTGATGTCAGCTTGGTGTTAGGTACAAGCTGAATGTCATTTACACTTGGGTTTATGTTTGGCTTATTTAAATGATCTAGCTCACCATGTTAGGCTTGTAAGTCCAATGATACCATTTTGGATGCTCACTTCAACTTATTAGTATACCCCAAAATAAAATTTCAACTCAATTTCCATTACACATTATTGAGGTAGATACATCCATTTCAACACCATAAATAAAAGTAGAAAATTTTTCTTTTGACGCTACAACTACAAAGACAACAATAAAATTATTTTCTTTGTAATAAAAAATGGGATTCATGTCTGCATATTTTTTCAGCATCTTTCACCTACAACTGCAGAGGTATGTATCGGATTATTCCTGATTGAGTGAAGAAGTTGATTTTTGTTGCCTTTGTTTTGTCTTATTTCAGAGCCTGCAGTCTTTGATGATGAGAGATAGCTCCTTGCTGTTATGGGCTTTCTTCTTTGGCTATAGCTACATATTGGGCAGGATATCCCCCACCTCTGCTGTTGAATATATTTGTTTGAAGACGAAGTTAAAAAGTATCTAGTCTTCCATTGAGTTATTCAAGCTGAAGCATGCTTCTGATCTAAATAGAGATGTGATACTACAATCATTTTTGACTTGAGCTGTATCTGTAATGACATTTTTCCCACTATGGATTTTCTCTTTTTCTTTCATCTACCTCTGCTTTCCCTTTATGTGCCCTTGTCCCTCTATAAATTTTGTTTGTACTTGTTTATCAAAATTAAATCTGTGAGAGAATTACCTTTTAACTTCTCCAATTATACATGCATCTACCACCTGCTTAATTTACCTTCATGAATACACAAGTGCATGTTTAGTAAGAAGTCTTGGACATGACTTTGAAGTATATGAGAAGATTTTAGGTTCTTTTTTCTAGTTTGTACCATCTAGTGCTATCCAATCCTTCCTACCAAACTTGCCATAAAGGCATTTATTGAAAAGGACCAGACCAGTAGCGAGTGTCCTTGTCCGTAAAGCAATTCCTTTACCACAGAAAATACTTTCCTTTCTAGTGTCTTCTTTTTCCACAAGTTTAGTATCCATTCGTGGCTATTTCCTCCATTAAGAAAATATCAGTACAAAAACATCCATACTTTCCTCATTTGCAATTAAGAACCATTTCATAAAGCTGAGAATTGTGAGAGAGAAAGAGAGAGAAATGACTGATGACTGGGGATCGGCGGTGAGAGAGAAAATGAATGCAGATTGGGGACCAGCTGTGGTGGCAGTGGCATTGTTCATCATCTTGTCACCGGTGCTGCTATTCCAGTTTCCAGCAAGGACGAGGGTGTTTGAAACATGTATACTAGTGGGATTTCAATCCTACTTCATGCGGTTTTGTTCTTTTCCGCTTCTTTCTCCAACATAGTCATTACAGTCGTACCTTTTACACCTTTGAATTTTCTTCCCTTGGCATGTCATGAAATACTGTGTGGTTAATTTTCATGATTTCATTCATATGAAGACTTTCAACTTTCCATCACTTGCAATTTGATGGGCATGGGCTGGGGCAGTGTTTTTAAATTTACTATTACATGTTCATGAGCAGAAAGTTGATGTATCGTTGCTGTTATGCGCTTTCTTGTTCGGCTATAGCTAGATTTTGGCCAGAGTGCATCAGCCTGTTTTCGTGTTGAGTTTATGTCTCCAGACAAGTTATAAATATGATGGAGTATCTAAAGATGATTCGTGCCTCCAGTTTAAATAGAGATGAATATATGTTATCCTTTTCTTACAATAGTTGCATCTGTGACATTTTCCCACTGAGTTGCCTTTGTGCTTCAACATTGTCCCTTTTGTAAATTTTGTCTGTGTTCATCATATTTATCGAAAGTAATTAAATCTGTAGAAGTTATTGTTGCCTTATAAATTATCTAACTATACATCCACTTACCTTCATAAATTCTCAAGTGCGGGCCCGAGATGTAATATTGAACAGGAATGTCGAAAAAGATAAAATTTAAACTTTTTTTCTTGTTAATATTATCAGTACTGTCTATTCCTCTTATCTAACATGCTAAAGAATCCCCNTGGAGGCTTATGAAACGAAAGTTGAACTGTCCATCTCCATAAAGCAATTCCATTACCACTCAAAATACTTTCCCTCCTACTCTTTCCTTTCATTTCTCAAGTTTAGTATCCATTCCTAGCAATACCTTCTCCATTAAGAAACATCAATACAAAACATACCTTCTTTCCAATTAACAATCATTTCTAAAAGAAGAAAGCTTATAGAGAAAAAATGAGTGCCGATTGGGGACCGGTGGTGGTGGCTGTGGTGCTGTTCGTCCTCTTGTCGCCGGGGCTGCTATGCCAGTTTCCAGCAAGGGCGAGGATGGTTGAATTCGGCAACATGTACACTAGCGGGATGTCTATTCTACTTCACGCGGTATTGTTCTTCTGTATTTACACCATCGTTATCATAGCTGTTGGAGTTCACATACATGCTGCCTAATACATTTATGTGTAATGACAGATCCAATTATATATACTAGTTTGTCTGAGACTAGTTCATTTTCTTCCTTTTGGCTTCTTTTGTGAAACATATATATTATTAGTTGTAATAAATTTCTGTACTGTTGATTTTCTTCGTATTTTCCATTGTTTGCTTTGGATGTTACTAGTTTTGTTACTTTCGTATAAGCATGCACGCCTTAAGTAGTTGAAGCTGAAGTTAATATACATCGAGAATATTAGTTAGTTAGCTTTGCAGATGATTCCTCCATGTCTACAAGTCTTTAAACTAGTCCTACTGCTAAGAAATGTTGGGAACTGTTTCAAGCAAGCGTGCGTTCTCCAAAAAGAAAATTGCCTAGCCACTGGAACAAGAAAGGCATCGATCAATACTTAAGAACCTGTTTGGATTAAAAAGTTGCTTTTAAGTCCATGTAGTTAATTTTTAAATATACTTTTATGTCCTTAAGAAACTCTTCTATCAGGTAAATTCAGCATGAGCCACCCCAGACAGATCCTAATTACACAATCAAAAGATTCCCCTCTCAAATCTAAGAATTCTCATTGCTTTCTTTTTGTTCGGATCTCCTGGGGAACGGTAAGAAATTTAGCCCTTCTTTGGCTCCGTTAAAATCAAATTTTGGAAAAAATGTACTTTTGTTACGAAAAGATAGAAAAAAGAAAGGAGAATAAGAATCAATAGACTTGTATATATTATAATGAGAACCAAAGTCTTATATTTATAGGGAGTGATTAAGGATACAATGTTAATAATTTTTAGGAATGTATATTAAAAATAAATGTTGCCTCATTAAAATCTTGTTATAAAAGCCAGTGGGGCAAAATTAAGTGAAGGAAAAGAAGTACAACTATCCTTGATGTTGATCATTGAAAAACTTTGAGGCAACGCATTCCAATATCGTGAACCAATTTCTTAAATATAGATATTGGCATTGTTTTTGTAAATAAATCAGTCACATTATCACTTAAGCGAATTTGTTGAACATTGATGTCGCAATTTTTCTGAAACTCGTGTATGAAAAAAATCTTGGAGAAATATGTTTCGTCCTATTACCTTTAATATAGACTCATTTGAGTTGTGCAATACAAACTGCATTGTCTTCCTACAAAATTGTTGGACTATCTTTTGTTAAGTTAATTTGCATGATGATTGGATATGATGGGTCATGTTCCTCAACCATACATATTACCATACACATTATCAGCATATTGGATTGCAATAATTTCATAATGATTTGAGGATATTGCTGTCAACGATTGCTTCACAGATCTCCATAATATAAATGTTCCTCCATGTGTAAACACATATTCTGTTTGTGATTTAGCTTTATGTGGATCAAAGAGAAAACTTACATCAACGTATCCCACTAAAGCAGATCCCGAATTTTGAGAATAAAATAATTTCAAATCAATAGTACTTCTTAGGTAACGAAAAATATTTGGTGTAGAGCTATATCTTGTAAGAAGATTAATAAAGAAAAAACTATGTCGGGTTGGGTGCGGTTTGCAAGATAAGTTAATGTTGCAATTGTTCTAAGATATGATATTTCAGAACTAAGAACATTTTCTCCATCTTCAGGTGGAAAAAATGAGTTTTTTTTCAAATCAAGTGATCGAATAATCATAGATGATGTCAGTGAATGTACATTATCCATAATATAAAAACGTTTTAAGACTTTTTCTGTATATGTAAATTGATGAACAAATAATCTTTTTGGGAAATGTTTAATATGCAACCCGACACAAAATCTGATTTTTCTCAATTCCTTCATCTCAAATTCATTTTTCAAATAATTTACAGTTTTGCTGAGTTCTTCAGAAGTTTCAATTGAATTTAAATCATCAACATAAATTGTCATAATTGCAAATTCAATATTTATTTTCTTTTATAAAAAAAAATGAACAGACATCATCATTTTTATTACCCTCATTCAACAATCATTGGATAGGGCGATTATACAGCATACATTCGGATTGTTTCAATTCATATAATAATCTTTGTAATTTAATTGAAAATAGTGTTCTCGAGTGTGTATCATTTATTTATGGCACTTTATGTTGATGATTTAAAATTTAAATCATCAACATAAAGTGCCAGGAATCTATATATGTCAATGTCAAGTGAACCATACAAATATACAGTTACTACATCCATAATGCGCATATCAAGGCTTTGTGACACAGTCAAATTAATTAAAAATCTAAAAGTGATAGTATCCATTACGAAATAATATGTTTCCTCATAATTAATTCCTGATATTTGTGAAAATCCTTGAGCTACGAGTCAGGGTTTTTATCTTATAAGTTCATTATTTTTATTTCTCTTTTGTACAAAAATATATTTGTATTCTATAGAGATTATATTTTCAGGTGTTCGACCTACATTATCCAAATACTTTTTCGTTTATCTAAGGAATTCAATTCTGTCCGTATGGCCTCTTTATATTTGTTCAATCATTTCTATGTTGAAAGTCTTTAACAAACATTTTTGGCCAATTATTTCTATGTTGACAGTCTTCAACAAACTGTGGTTCGGGATTTTCATTTTGAATAATATCAATAGCCAAGTTCAAAACGAAAATATTGTCTATAACAATATTATTTCGTTCTCATATTTATGAGATAACATATAATTTATTGACCACCTGTGATTTTTCAGAAACCATATTTTCAATATTTGATTGATCAATATTTTTTTAATGTTAATTCTTCTGAAATTTTTTTGTTTATTTCTCTCTTGTATTTTTCCTTTTCGAAGTACATAGTCTTTTGAACCAACTAGTCAACCACGTTTCTTGTGTATTTGAGATTCATTTACTATAATAGATTGTCCTACAGGGACATCATTTTTTTGCGAAAATATTTTATGTTGGAATATATGACTTTGTTACTCTTCTCGTGTCAACAAATGTATCAGATAATTTATTACAACTTTT